ATGACACTGTTCCAGATGGCAAGGTAAAAATAAACCCATTCCTTTTCTAAAAGTACCGCGAATGTGTCAACATTACACAATGCATTGGTTTCTTGGGATCCTAAAATTAAGTGGACTGTATTAAATGCTGAAATGATCAAATCTTTAAAGTTATGTAACAGGTCGGTAAAAGGTGGACAAGCATTTTATGCTTAAAACTTGGTAACAATAAGGACATTCTCCTGCCAACATAACATTTTCAATACTTATCATTTGGATGTATCATTTTCCATCTAGAATATAAGAGGAAATTTGGGTTCTGGGGAGCTGAATATCTTATGTCCTTGCCAATTGCTTTTATCTACAACTTCCATTCCCAAGAGGTGAGTTCGTACTGCCCTCCCTCTCTGCCCACACATGCTGTGTTGTTCCCATTAATTCAAAGAACTGTTCTGATAGTATATTCTTTAAAAAAAAAAAATGCTTTTGCCTCCTGAAGACAAGTATTCAATTAAAGATTCACAGACTTGTTCTAACCTTGTGCCTGGATTTAAAAGGGGTGGTCACACTGCTCTGATTGAAAGCCCATGAAGAATATTGATTTTTGTTTCCTCTGGGCTACTTTTTTCAGCCTCTAATTTAAATGGACATCCCAAGCTTTAAAGACCCTAATAGTGATACCAGTAACCTCTTTGTTCAGGGGGTTCTGTTGTTGATAACGTGACCTTGGAATGATCCCCCGGTTCTTGGGCTCAGGATCAATATGACAGAGAGTTCAGCTCTCGGTTGCTGTGCAACCAAGCAGGGGCGGTCAGCGGTAGCACAGCCCTGTGTTCGAGATGGAGCCTCTGAAACAGAGTGCAGCGGGGAGTTCTGGCCTTTGGAAGGGGTGAGGGGAGAGGAGTGGCCAGGGACAGGCCTGTTGTCACTTTTATGCTCGAACTACTCCTGGATTATGTCCCTGTAGATACAAATGCAGCTGTCCTTGGAAATACCCATCCATGCCCCTTTCTCTGAAAAACTCTGTCTCTGATGAAATCTGATGAAATTAAATCACTGTACCTACGTGCAACACAAGCATTGTTTTTGATGTTAATGAAGCCATTTCTGAAGTTAGCTAACTCATCTTGCATACTGTTACTAGTTCCCTTTTAATGTTGGGATAGCCTCTCCAGGCAGACAGATCCTGGACCCCAGGCACAGAGCACACAGATCCTGGAACCTGCACATGTTTTTCCTTTGGATTTCTCTGCCCCTTTTGTTTGTCCATTTCTCTGAGATATTTCTTTATTCTTCTTCTTGGCTGGAGTGCCTTGATCTCAAACAGCAGTTTAGATGCAAAACTTGAGTTGATCCAGTGCTAAGGGGCACTTATTTAATATGGCACATGGGGACAATAAAAAGATTCCAATTATAGTTCATGGGATTTAGCCAAGTTGATTGCTTTTTGCTTTTTGACAATCCCTTCCTTGGGGTTCAATTTATCCGCAAAAGTGACATCATTCAAAGCCAGAGCTGAAATTGTCTTCTTGGTTGAATTTAGTTAGTAGCCTTTGCAAAAATATTTCCCCCATTCTCGGATTCATTCTTGTTTTGAATAGAAGCTATGACGTTACCGCCTATCAGCCTTAGTTTTAAAAATTGTTTCTTGTAATTTTCTAATACCAGCCTTGTTCTTGGTAACCTATAGATTTGTATTTACTGATCAGTGGCCTGGTTATAAACCAATAATCAAGTCTTGTCTAAGTACATCTTGCCCATCAATATTGTTTTTACATTGCTGAAATCTGACATCATTCTTTTTTTTTGTTTTTTAAGTGTATTTATTTATGTTGAGAGAGAAGGGGAGGGGCAGAGAAAGAGAGAGAATCGCAAGCAGGCTTCACACTGTCAGCACAGAGCCTGATCCGGGCTCAAAACCATGAACCAAGAGATCGTGACCGTGAGATCATGCACCAAAACCAAGAGTTGGGTGCTTAACCGACTGAGCCACCCAGGCTCCCCTAACATCATTCTTTGTTTGCTTATTTCAAAGAAGTTGGCCCCTATTTCATTGTTCTATGGGATGTTTTAGCTTCGCTTGCTTGGATTATCCCAGCTGCTGAACAAGTACATCTTTTCCCATCCTTATAAACATGACACTACTCCTTGACCCTCAGGCCGAGTAGTGGAAGAGGATGGAGTGTGGCAAAGGCCTAAAAAGGCCACACAGCTCATGCTTTGAAGTTCTCTGAACCTTGTCTGGGAAACGGAACTGTCTCCCTCCCAGAGCTGTGCTGGAGGTCAAGTGCAAGCACAGAAACGATGCTCCCTGTAAACGTGTAATGCTAGAACATCATCTTTTCTTTAATAATTTCCTTGGGGCCTCATTGTTGCTTTTGAAACATATAACCCACACGGTAGATATTCTTGCTGTAGGAATTCCCTGTTTAAGGTGGATTTGTGGGGGAAATCCTAGCAAGAAAGCTGAGCTGAATGAATGATCCATTTCTTTCCTTCTTCCAAATTTCTCAGTACCTCCTCCTTCCTCAGCTTCCCCACCCACTTACACAGTGCCCACCTGTGGATGCTGTGGACCGGGTGAAAGGTCTGCCTCACATCTGAGAAATCTCTCCTTCCCCCATTAAAGCTCCTTTGTCAATAGTTTCCTCTCTGAACATCCCCCTCTGTCCCTGACCAGTGCTACCATTTCCACTCTGGGCCATTTTCGTGGAGACAGTGAATCTCCGTGTACAATCCGGATAGCAAAGCCTGACTGCCGCCCGACTAACTTCATTTCTTATCGTAGAGGGAGAAAGAAATGGTCTTGCCCAGCGTCCACCAGCACAATCCCGACTGTGACATTTGGGTCCACGAGTATTTCACACCATCGTGGTTCTGTCTGCCAAATAATCAGCCAGCCCTGACGGTCGTCCGGCCCGGGGACACTGCCCGGGACACCCTGGAGCTGATCTGTAAGGTATGAAGGTATTGGGGGTTGCCTCCTTGAGAGGAGCAGAGTGGGCCAGAGGAATCATCTGTGGCACGCGTGAGGATTCAGAGACGTGTGAGGGAGGAAGGCGCTTCGAAGGGTACCTCCATTTCCTCTCACAGCTTTGATTTCCTCTGTGATCATATGCATACTAAGTGGAAGTGAATTCTTGGGCTTTGGGAGGAGAGGGATTCTTTTTTTAAATAGCTTCTTTCAATATGCATGTCTCATAGATTTGAAATAAGTGAATTATATGCTCATTGCAAAAATGTTAGAAAATTTGGGTGAAGAGCAAAGAAAATGAAGGCCACCCCTACAAGGTCTAGAAGTATCGCCGTAAACATTCTGGCATTTGCCTAACTTGTTTTGTGCGCGCGCGCGCACACACACACACACACACACACACACACACACACGTTTAGTGGCATCATATTATGTGTACTGTGTGTAACCTGCTCTTTGACAGTAACTGACGCCACAGCCATATGGGTAGGGAAAAACTGAAATAAATATGTTTGATCTCCGTGATGGGAAGTTCCCTTTCCTGTAAACACATAATTAGCCTCTTACTATGCGTGTGTATGTGACAAATGCCTGAGTTCACTTTCTCTGCTGTCACTTCTAAGCTGCAGAAACTTCCGATTCTTTTCCAAAGTCAACGTGGTTTTATTTTTCACCCCCCTGAAGGGCACCAGATGAATTGCCTGGAGTGAGGGAAGGAAAAGAGAAAGAAACGAGCCTTTTTCGTGTGCTTGTTTTTACTTGTACAAAAGTATCAGCACTAATAGTTTTATTTAGGAGTTCTGTCGAGTCTGAGGAGGAAATGATGTTTGCCCATTGTACAGATGGAGAAAGTGAGGCTCAGAGAGCCTTAGCTCCAGGCCCAGCACTCAGTTGCACGCAGTCAGTTGCAAAGGAGAGACTGAACCCACATCTACCTGGTTGCTCTGAGCCTGTATCCTCTCCTGCGCCAGGGTGGTCATCAGGAAGGATGGTCCATTAGGGTCAGAAGAATCCAGAATATATTTTTTAGAGAGCATGATGGCTTTCCCCAGGACCCCTAAAGGGCAAGCAGAAACCTTCCCGTCATAATTTTGTCCTAGAAGAAGTTGGATGGATACAGTGACATTTTTAGGACCTCCTCACTCAACACAATGGTTTATAAAGACTGAATCTATTTCACTACCAGAACAAGTACCTCAATGCTGTAATTCTGCAATCAGCAATTTCGGAATTTTTTAAAGAAAACAAATCACTAGGGCCTTTGTAAAGAAAAAATATGGCTCTTTATATGAGTGGGAGAAATGAAACAGTCTGGCTCAAATAAGCCTTATGTGGAAGAAATGTAGAAGGGCCATTTGTTTTAGGACAAAGCTAAACTCAGCCCCCACATAGGTGTTAAAAATAAATGATACTCTGTTACATGCTTCGAATCCTTCATGTACGTGAATTCCAGCTTTTTGAAGATAATGGTATTTCTGTTCACATTTTTCATTTTAATTACTTAACAAAATTAGTCTATTGAGGATTTCTGCATTCTTTTATTTATAGATTAGCATGATTCTTTAGAGACCCATTAATATTCCGCAGAGCTGTGGAAGTTGTTCTCAGAACTGCAGCTGAAGGTGTCAAAAGTAGGACTCCGGTGGTTTTTTTTTTTTTTTTTTTTTTTTTTTTTTTTTTTTTTTTTTAATAAAGTCAAACCCTGGAGGTCTTTCCAAGGGGATAGCATTGCTTAAGCGCCTCCTGTGTACATTGGCCTTGGATGCAATTAGGGATCAGAGGGTAGGTCATAGTTTTCCAGTGACCATTGATTGGTGGAAACTTGAACAATGAGTGGGGAAAATAGTGATGGGCCCAATTTTAGGTACTTTTCAAGCTTTGTTTTGATAGAAACTAAGAGAATGATGAATGGTATTGTCACGACAACTAGAGACTATCTTTGGACAGCAAGTGGGACCTGTCCCTGCATAAAGTGTTCATATCTATCGCTGGAAAGGTTTTTGATGGCATCGTGAGGGCACAAATCCCTCTCTCTAACAACAGAAGGTCATCCCGCCCAATTTTCCCTTGGGTCCTCAACTCTTTTCCCCCAAACATGGAAATAAAGACAAAAACAATGGTGTGGAACAAGCTAAGTGTCGTGAGTTTAAAAATGGAAAACTTTTGTATGCACTTGAAGAAATTGATGGTCTCTGGAAAAGCACCCATGTAGGATAAATTATATAGTGTGCTGAGAACCAGGTGCCTTCTAAAGCTGGCTCCTTCTTTGGAAAACACTTTATTGTAATTAGTGGAGCCAATTTTATTCTTAAGAGGGAAAGAGATAATGGGGTAACAGTGCCACATGTTATTAATGATCTAATTAGTGGTGAGTGTTTTTCTCTTTGGAGGAGGAGGGACTGAAAAAAAAGGTGATTGTCAGAATGTCTGTCTTTTATTTCTTTATTGTCATTCTCAACGTCGGTGATGGATGCTTTTTCTAATATTTAATAATCAATCTCTTTCTTCTGTCTCTTGCATTCAGCTCATTCTTTTTCCTATTCTATCTGATCCACATCCTTTCACATCAGTTTGTCATCTGCCATCCGAGCACCAGTCAAGTTCTGGTATAGTAAATGTTTCAAGATCTACATTTCATGTACAGTTCATGTTATAGATGTTACGAAAATGATTGTCGCTAACTATAGCAGGTAACCACGTTGGCCTGTGGGTTTTCGATATATTCTGATCATTGCAATTACCAAAATAATTGCAAAAAATTCATTCATTCATACTCACTGATACAATTCATGTGTGACCATGGGATGAGTTTTATTTCATGCCATCACTGTATTGGCTTATGACTTTTTGATTATTCTAAAAACCATTGGCATTAAAAAAAAGAAAGGTCACCTTGAAGAGGAAGATCAATCTTTGGAAATTCTGCAATAGCACTTGTGTGTGTGTGTGTGTGTGTTTGCATGGATTTCTATATGTGGTAACTTTTATGTTTCCCCAAGAAGTTTGACTGAATTGGAAGAGAAAACCCTGATGGATTAAAAGATCATATTATTATCTCTTGTAATTGGCTCAAACTATTTATTGGGAAAAAAAAAAGTACATTGTGTTTGCTATTTCATCCTTTGAAGTGGATGCAAATTAAAAGAAGATATATGCCAACTAAACTAATACTTGTTCTATGGTATTTTTATCTTCTGGTATAACTTGTGGCTACATTGCCTCAAAATGAATCAAATGCTCTCTGAGTAACTTAAGCACATGCATATTGGAACACAAATTGGTACCACTTAAATTTTTCCCTGAGTTTCTCTTGAATTAGGAAGTTTTCTCTTGAATGTTTTACAAGTCTGTAGCAGGACAAATATTTGGACTTGCTGTGTTAACATATTCATTGATACTTGGAATTCTTTTTGCACAAAGATGTATTGTGAACATGGTAAATTTGCTCAACCTGCAGATATTTGGGGAGCAGAAAATTCTTCTTGAGAGTTCTGATGATCAGATTTAATTCATCAGGATCAATTAATTCATTAGGATTTTGCCTTTACGTTAGAGCAGCCATGACTAGTGAGGGCTTGTAATTGAGAAATCTTTACCAAAATGGTAGACCCTCAGGTACACTACCCATTTTTAGGGTAACTGTTTACTGACCAATCTAAGGGCTCCTTGGGTGCAAGTAAGACCATTAAAAGTTTTATCTGTTGCATGTGCCATTTTCATTTTTTAAAATTATCAAGACATTATTGTAACTTAAAGAAGTTTGACAAAGATGATGATGGAGGGGAAGGTGCCAAGAATCGGCCTCATTACCATTGCTGTATTTACCATTCTTTTGTTGTCCTTGCTGTGTCCCTCTAAGTGAGGTACCTAGACAGCTGTTATTTTTGCTCTCTGTACATCTGTATAAATGTTTCAGCACAGCAGCATTTAAGGCGTGATGAGAACCTCTCTACTCTTCATCAGGACCATCTTAAGATCTTTGGTGCCTGACAGGGGGCTGTCTGTCTCTCCCACTGAGGGTTCAGGAACCACACGCTTCTTAGGTGAGGTTGCTCCTTGGGTCTGACTTCCAGAAAACGGTTTAAGTGTCAGCCTTATTGAGAGTGTCCACAAAGTGTTTATTAATGATGACAGTAAGGTTGCCAAGTGAATTTGTTCCTGTTAACCAAGACCCCATGAAGTTTCATCGCTCTTTTCATCCCACCTCAGTCAGAAACAGATGGCAAACACAACTTTTTTTTTCTATTGAAAGATTTCGGTGAGGACCTAGGTAGGTGGGAAGCATTTGCAGCTTCTGTCTCTGGAGGGAAACTTTTCCTATCATCTTACCCTAAATATTATTATTTCATTTGTTTGTCTCAGCAGCCCTCCTGTAAGTACTAGGTAGCCCACTGTAAAACTTCACTGTTTTGGGGCACCTGGGTGGCTCAGTCAGTTAAGCATCCGACTCTTGATTTCAGCTCAGGTCATAATCTCAGGGTCGTGAGATTGGGCCCTGTGGGGAGGGATCTCTCACGCTTCAGCTTGAGCCCTTCAAGATTTTCTTTTTCCCTTGCTCTGTTCTGAAGTCTGTTCGAGTCTGTTCTTCTCTCACCCCGCCCCTCCCCATGCATGCATGCTCTCTCTCTGTCTCTCTCTTTCTCAAAACAAAAACAGACAAAAAAACCAACAAAAGCTTCCCTGTTATACGCTTCTTGGGATTACCCATAATCATTCTTATTACCTTAGACACCATCCATCTGGGTCTGTCAGACCCTGAGCATTTGACCTCCGTAATACAGACAGTGACAGCCTGAAAGTCAGGTACGTGGGAATGTGTTGGCTCAGCAGTATCTGTGGTCACACAGCGGGTTTCAAACTATCACTTTACTCAGGAGAGGATGCAGGGTAGAAAACTTCTTTATCATTCTCCTAGGTGCTCAGAACGAACTCATTTCCACTTTCTGAAAATGTGCTTTTGTAATAATGCAGGATGCCTATGTTGCATGTATTTTTTTAAAAAATTTTTAATGTTTATTTATTTTGGGGAGGGAGACAGAGCATGAGCACGGGAGGGGCAGAGAGAGAGGGAGATTCAGAATCTGAAGCAGGCTACAGGCTCCCAGCTGTCAGCACAGAGCCCGACGCGGGGCTCAAACCCACATACCGTGAGATCATGACCTGAGCTGAAGTCGGATGCCCAACCTACCGAGCCACCCAGGCACCCCTGTTGCATATATATTTATTTAAAAAGCAAAGCCACCACCGCCCCATCTTCTGTTTTCTGCCCCCCTCTTCCCCACAGCCACACACACGGTTGAAGGCTGCATTTATGTTTTATTAATTTTTATATCTGCAGTGTTTCACACAGCATCTGGTACCCTTAAGATTTCGTTAGATGGGACTGAATGACTACTATTGGAATAATTATCGGAATTTTCTTAGTTTAGCCTTTAAAATTCGGGGGGGGGATCAGGGTAGGTAGAAAGAGGATTAAGCCAGCAAAAGATTAATTTTCACTTATATTGCAATAATTCTCACCAGTAGAGCTTTGTTGTGAAGAGATCTAATATTTATGAAAAATTTCAAACTCATGTAAGAGCAGAGAATAGTGTAATAAACTCCTGCGTATCTGTCACCAAGGTTCTATAATTAACCAAAATTACCAAATTATGCTTCATCTGTTTACTCATCCCCTCCCACCCCCTGCTCTGGATTCTTTTGGAAGCAAGTTTTAGACATCCTATCTTTTATCTACTAGTGCTTTGGGATGCATCTCTGAGGGATAAGAATGCTTTAAAAAGTGGCTTCACTTAAGCGTTTTCTAGCAATACATTTTCAAGCTGCCATGTAACTTTCAAAGAGCGTTTTCTTACATTTTTCTCTGCATCTTCACGAATGCACGTGGAGGATTATTTATAAAGCCACGTTGCGACTATTGCTTTTACCGCAACATTAAATCGAGGGTGACTCTCTAGAGGAGAAAAATCCGTCGACCCATTCTGAACCAAAGGAGTAGGCCTGGAAATTTCAACCCTTAACTATTTTAGAATTGTTTTCTTTGGGTAAGTCATTCAATGTGTTGCCAGTGCTGGACACATGCCCGTCTGCACTGCCCCCGGAGGGAGTCTCACTTGGGGTGTATATAAATAAGACTGAAATCCAAATGCCTTGTCTTCACGCTGACTCGCCTGCAAATGAACTATTAGCAACTGTCCCAGTGTCCCCATGTGGCTAGAAAAACAACGTTGCCAGGGCACAGCTTTTCCCTGTCACTGTGAATCTTTCCTTACTGTTTCTGTGACTTTTTCTTTAATCACCTCTGTATGTTTGGAATTATGTTGAAGGGCCTCCCTGATCTGATGGGGTTCTGTTGCAAAACCAGTGTTAAAGAGGGTAATGACTCAGATAAGCAGAAGTGAAGATGTGACTCAGTTATTTCCATTGAATCATAAGCTGTCCGTGGAATATTACTCATCTGTTCAATGAAAATTCGTTTCAAGTTTGAGTTTTAGAGGTAAACCTCCTAGGAGGTGTAGAAACCATACGCCCTCCCCAGTAACAAATCTCTATGATTCTTGGGGGATAGTGATAATATGTCAGTGGTGCACTAAATGCTCCTGTTTACTATTGAACGTTTTCTTTTTCCTTTCTTTTGTCCCAGACACATCAACTGGATCACTCTGCTCATTACCTGCGTCTGAAATTTCTAATAGAAAACAAAATGCAACACTACGTTCCAAAGCCCGAGGAGGACATTTATGAGCTGGTAATGTTTATGACGGTTGTCCAACTACATTCTGTAGGAGATTATTTTTAAATTATATGTGTGCTTGTACTAATTGTGGTTGGTGAAGTAGAACGAATTCTAAAATAAATGAACCTCATTCAGAGCTCGGAAGTTTGCGAAGATGGCCTTACTTATCACAACGTGTCTGTAGAGTAGAAATGCCACCTTTGTGTCTGCAAGGAGCGAGGCTGTGCGATCGTGAGAAATTGAAATCCAGAGCTGACCCTCAGGTAGAATTTTAGTTATTATTCCTAGCTTTCCTGGCAGCATGGTGACTCAAAGATCAGCTGGCTGTTGTCAGGAACAAAAGCACTAACTCTGGTTTTGAATGACTTCTACCTGGGTATTGAAACCGATGGGTCGAATCCTTCTGGGTGAAAATGCTGCCGTGTGATTCTATGTCCCAGTCTTTTGTAATTGTATTTATATAGGTGCCTGGGGACATTTAGGTATGTTTGGGTTTCATTATGAGACTTGGGTTCTAAACTAGAGATGGGTTTTATATCGGCCCCGTTGCTTACGAATTTTGTGATATTGGCAAAAGATGTGCTAATACAGTCGACCTTTGAACAGTGCGGGGCTTGGGGGTGTTAACCGCCTGCACAGTCAGAAATCCAAGTATAGCTTTTGACTCCCCCGACACTTAACTACTAATAGCCTACCACTGACTGGAAGTTCACTGATAACAGTAACAGTCAGTCAACACACAGTTGGCATGTTCCATGCATTAGGTACTGTACTCTTACAATCAGGTAAACTAGAGAGAAGAAAATGTTATTAAGAAAGTCCTGAGGAAGAGAAAATACATTTGCAGTAACTGTAAAAAACAAAACAAAACAAAACTCTGGAAAAGTGGACCCATGCAACTCAAACCCACGTTGCTCAAGGGTCAACTGGGCTTAATTTCTAGGATTTTGCAAAGATGAGAGATAGATACTAGTGCACATAATAGATGCTCAGTAAATGGTTGTCATGGAAATAACACAGTAACAAGCTCTTCTTTGTTAGCCGAGTGGTATAGTTTTCAGTTCCAGGAAAGAGACAATTTGGGAGCAAGGCGCCTCTATCTTAGAATTTGTTCTTCTCTCTCTGCACTTAGTCATTCCTCTGGGGGCCACCGAGCTGCTGGCTGTGGATATGTGAATGATAACAGGATGACTTCAGACATGGTTGCACCACAGAAAGCAGAATTGAAAACTTGAACCCGCATAGTCTCTTTCTGAAAAGGAGAAGCGTGATTTAAAATTTAATAGGGAATTTTGTTTTCAATCAACTTTTTGACGTTTACTTTATATGCAACAAAGCTCACCAATATCTTTTTAATGTTTATTATTTTTGAGAGAGAGGCAGAGAGCAAGCAGGGGAGGGTCAGAGAGAGAGGGAGACACAGAACCTGAAGCAGGCTCCAGGCTCCGAGCTGTCAGCACAGAGCCCGATGCAGGGCTCGAACTCACAGACCGCGAGATCGTGACCTGAGCTGAAGTTGGCCACTTAACTGACTGAGCCACCCAGGTGCCCCTAAAGCTCCCCAGCTTTTAAGCACACAATTCAGTGAGGTTTCACCATACCATCATGTTTCCACCACTGCAGTCCTACTTTAGAACGTTTCTATCATCCTAAAATGTTCCCTTGTGCCCCGTTAGGTGTTTCTAATAAATAGGAGGGGGAGGGTGTTTGTCGCACTTTTCCATGTGATGCAATCCATGAAAGAAGATCAAAATGATGAGTCTATTTTCAACCATCGCCTGAACAATTAAGCGTTAACAGGAGAGGGAGCTTTTAACAGAGAGAGTAGCTGATTTATTTTTTTTCCTCTGGCTGGCATGGGGCAGAGCTCTGACTTTGTTCTCTCTGAGCAGAGGAAAGAAAACCCTTTTCCTTACTTAGAAAAGGAAAGTGCGGGGCTGGTTAGACTGGGATAGCTCTTTGACCACCAGTATGTTTGCATCTTGATGGTTAAGACTTTCATATGTTGCCTCTAACTGACTTCCATGGCCCTCCTATTTCACACATAGTAGGGACTTAAGACATGTCTTTTGAAATTATATTGATGCGCTTATTATTTTCGAGTCTTGGCCATTGGGTAGCTCATCTGGTGTAGGAGACTGAGGCGCACCAAGCTTGGTCTGTTTGTATCTGCAATTGCAGATGTTCTCATCACAATTTTTTTTAAAGAGTCTAAAATGCAGAGAGAGCATGGCATCTTTCCTGCTCTTTGCAAAAGGGCTCCAGCTCAGAGGTCCCTGAGGAAGCGAATGCCATAGGCTCGTTCATTTTATCGTTCAGATTGCAAGTGAGTATTGCTTACTCACATCTCTGCTTTTACCAAGTTTCTTCACTTTTTTGTTCTTAAGAATACCTTGGGCAACTTGGCAAAGTTTCACGCTCCCTTCTCAGATTACTGTTTTCAGTTGCACGAAATAAAACACATAGGATCACCTATGGCATAATTATGTTGCAATAGTTATCCAAGATATTTTTAAAATTATAGATAATACGTGTGCTTATTTATTGGCTCCTTAAATAATAAGACCTAGCGGGAGATCCGATAGCTACTACTGTTTTGAAGTACTGACAGCAGCCTGAATGTGATTGGGAAACAACCATGATTTTTACTGGTGACAAGGTCATAGTCACTGCCAGTACTGTTGTATTCGTTGCCTACATTTATTTATGATTGAAGGAAATGCTAAGTTTCAGTTACAGGTTAGTGGATATAAAGATGGCATTTTTTTCCCCCACCATTGAAGTTCACAGACCCCTTGGATTCTACCCAGGGGTCCCTGGCTTCCAATCCCCCATATAGGCCATTAAACTTGTTCTAATGTCATTCCAAGGCAGGGGGCGTCTGAACACACAGCGCTCCTGGAGGCTTTTTGAGAGTTTGCAGATTTCAGGCTATTGACCCTTACTGAATAAGCATCAGACCATACACGGTCGATTAGTTTCTGTAGCCCACCTCCATTTTATTTTTGACAGACTAGCGAAACTCGCACACGTATGAAGCTGTTTCCTTGTAAGTAACTCATTCATAGATGGCTGTCCTGATATGTTTTATTCTCTGACACTTTTACCAGACATTCTTTAATAGTAAAGTCTGTAGTTATTAGGAAAAGTGTGTATTAGATTTGAAAGCTTTGAGGGGTCTAGGATGTATCTTTGGTGGGTTAGGGGATCCTCTTGCTTGTGAATGACCATGACTAGTCGGTCGTCTACTTATCTGCTCTGCTGGTTATGTTTTAATAGAAGTGGTACCTGTTTGGCCACTTTTTTTTGTATTTGGTTAATTGTTAGGCCCCATCGATGGATTGATAATGAATAGGGAGGCACTGGCTTTTCAAGACCCTTATTCAATGTGTTTTTCTTAAAGTGACAGGTGGGAATAAAGAGTTTGCAGAAACACTGGTCAATTGATTTATTTACTCATCCAGCAAATATTTATTTAGCATTTATGTGTGCCTGGCACCACTGTGCCTGTTCTGGGCACTGGGATACACAATCAAAAATCCCTACCCCTCGGGGCACCTGGCCGGCCTCAGCCCACAGGGCATGTGATTCGTCATCGCAGGGTCATGAGTTCAAGCCCCACATTGGACATATGCCTACTTAAAAGGAACGAAAATGAAAAAAATCTCTACTCCTTGTGGAACCCACACTCAAGTTTGTGGAGACATACAAAAATATGTAGATTTTTTGCATAACGACATGTAACTGTGCAGTATTTCAGAGGATGTGAAGAGCTTGGAAAGAAAAGGTTAGGTCAAGTGGAAAGAGAGATGGGGCATCCAAAAACAGAGTGTTCTGCCCCTTTAGCTGTGTTTGGGTTGATGTGTGAACAGAGCGAGGTGAGAGAGTGAGTCGTAGAGGTATTTTGGAGGAAAGTGTTCTAGGCTAAGGGAACAAAGTGGGTGAGGCCCTGGCAGGGGGCGGATGGTGAGGGTGGAGGTTGTTTTCTTGTGTGTGAGGAGGGTCAGTGGCTGGAGAGGGGGTGAGGCTGCAAGAGAGGAGGGAGGAGGGGAGCAGGATGGGCCACGTAGGGCCTACATGAGAGGGGAAACCCCGGAGGAAGAAGGACACTGGTTGACTTCTATTTTAGTAGGCTCACTGTGGCTCTGTGTCCGTAGGACATGTGCCACATGGCCAATGGACCACAGGGCACAAGAGAAGTTGCTGAGAAAGAGCAGGGGGTTAGTGCGTTGTAATTGGGGCAGCGGGTGATGCTGGCTTGGACCAGGGCACCCAGCGGGGATGTGTGAGACATGATCCTGACTTCATGATAACTCGAATGCCTGGCAATCAAGTTTGTTCTTAAATCTGATGATCTTTTAATCTGCTCTTTGAGAAGAGGGAAAGGGACACCTGGCTGGCGCAGTTGGGTAAACATCAGACTTGATTTCAGTTCAGGTTGTGATCTCAGGGTTCATGGTTTGAGCCCCACTTCGGGCTCTGTGCTGACAGTGAGGAGCCTACTTGGGAATCTCTCTCCTTCTCTCTCTGTTCCTCCTCTGCGTGCTCTCTCTCTCTCTCTCTCTCTCAAAATAAATAAACATTAAAAAAAAAAGGGAAGGAAAATGTGACACATCATTGACTTAATAAAATAAAGGGAACGCGTGTGACGTTTTGCTGTTAAAGATATTTGTATAGGGGCGCCTGGGTGGCGCAGTCGGTTAAGCGTCCGACTTCAGCCAGGTCACGATCTCGCGGTCCGTGGGTTCGAGCCCCGCGTCAGGCTCTGGGCTGATGGCTCGGAGCCTGGAGCCTGTTTCCGATTCTGTGTCTCCCTCTCTCTCTGCCCCTCCCCCGTTCATGCTCTGTCTCTCTCTGTCCCAAAAATGAATAAACGTTGAAAAAAAAATTAAAAAAAAAAAAAAAAGATATTTGTATAACACCTATGAAATTTCAGCATTTGTAGTTTCAGATAGGGATTGTAGTTGCATTGAAAAAATATATTTTAAAGTGCATATCCTTCTTGAGATTTTATGTTTTTATTAGTGTTTTTTACCAAACACAATTTTAGTCTAACCACTCTGAGAACATACTGTGGCCAAGAGGGCTTATATCTAGATCACACTTAGGTATTGTCTGGGGCTGGTAAAAGACACAACAGCTTTCACACCGTTCCAAAGAAAAGTAAGAGGCAATATTATGAGAGAATGGGAAAGATTATTCACAAAGCTGTATTCCCCCTGGATCTGTGGCAACCATTAGGAACTTTCTGGAGATGATTGCAACAGTGATATACTGCCACCTAGGGTAAGAGTTTGACTCTTGAGGAAATTTGTAAAAAGTAAAACTGAGGCTCAAAGTAATTTGAAGGAAACACAGTGCATAGCATTTATTGCACATTCCATGGCGTCCTAAAATATTGCATAAAACTTTATTATATTTGGTATTTATAACTTTGGTAACTGCATTTTCTGAACTAAAGATCAGTTTCACAACTGATTTCTTCTGATTGCAGAATTTATTCGTATGAACATTTTTCTGAAGTATAAAAGGAAAAAAAAAACCCATGAAATGACACCCCTAACACATTGCATTTGGCGGAAGTTGCATTAAATTAGGATGTTCTAGAGGATCTGGGCTGTGTGGTCGTTGTTCCCAGGACTCTGCTCCCCTTTCTATTCTAGCAGCCTCTTTCCAAGGCTCCTTCTTCCACCTGTCAGCCTCCCTAAGAAAGTGAAGAGAAAGAAACTACCATTCTTTTCTACTTGCCTGAATTACGTTATTGCTGGGTGAATGACTGTGGGGTCAGAGATGCGAGCAAGTTTCAATAACCACCAAGACTTCTCTTTCGTACTAAAGCACAGCCTTCTGTTATTGACCTTGGCACCAGAGTTTTTCATTTCAAAATTGAATGACAGTTTTCCAGTTCCATATGAGCTTTGACACATTTATTTGTTTTGGAGTTTTTATCATAATCTTTGGAAATGGCCTTTGTCTTGCTTACCTAAGAAGTTGTGGTACCTCTCAGCGCCACCTGGAGGTGGTCTACCGGGCACTGCGGTATAGTGGAGAGAACTTGACCTCTGGAGCCAGCGAGACCTGGGTTCAAATCCCTGTTCTGCCCATTCTGGCTTTAAAACCTTTAGCAAAGTGCTTCCTCTCCAGACTTATTCCCTTGCTTGTTCAATGGAATGACACTTGTGTGGCACATGGACACCTGAGAAAACCTTCATAAGTTATTGTCCATGATGCTGATTGTTGTAGACATATGAAAGTGAATTAAATTAAATTGAAGTAAAGTTTCTGATATGTGAACTACAGCTTTCTGTTATCTTTCCCGCCC